TCCCCCACTGGAGATCAGCTGAAGGCTTTTATAGGGACAGGATTATGGATCTTAGAAGTTTGTGTTAGTTTCCCCTTGAGGTGTTGATGTGTTAGTTGAGTTAACCTTCTACTGGTATTCTTAGAGATTATCTGGTGACATCCTTGGGGATTATCTGGTGACATCCTGCTTTTTCTTGTCACAAGATGGGTGCTGATCATTATCACTTGTTTTCCACCCTCCAGGGAGGAACATTGGTTAATCTTAAAACTTTTGTAGAGACTGGAACCGCAGGGAAAAAACAAAATCACGAGACAATGTGGTGGTTAGCAATGGGGAGTAAATAATAGTGAGCCGGGCCTATGCAGCCTCTTCCAAAAAGACCAGACTTAATGGTCTGACTGAGACTGGAGGGACCCCAGAGAACATGGCCCCCAACTCTCTGTTTGCCCAGAGCTGAAACCGTTCCCGAGGCCAACTCTTCAAACAAATATTAGACTGGACTATGGGACATAAAGTGATACTTGTGAGGAGTGTGCTTCTTAGCTCAGGTAGATACATGAGACTAAATGGCCAGCTCCTGTCCAGTGTCGAGATGAGAAGGTAGAGAGGGTCAGGAGCTGGTTGAATGGACACAGGAAATCCAGGGTGGAAAGGAGGAGTGTGCTGTCACAGTATAGGGAGAGCAACTAGGGTCAAATAGCAATGTGTGTATAAATTTTTGTATGAGAAACTGACTGGAGTTGTAAACTTTCACTTAAAGCACAATTAAAAAAAAAGAAAAAAAAAATTCAGTAATGGTAGCTGAGCACCATCCAGTTCTTCTGGTCTCATGGCAAAGGAGGCAGTTGTTCATGGAAGCAATTAGCCACACATTCCATTTCTTCCCTTATTCCTTACTCTCCTTCTTCCTCTGTTACTCCAGGTGAATAGAGACCAGTTGTTGTACCTTGGATGGCTGCTTGCAAGCATTTAAGACCCCAGGCACTACACAAGGAACTAGGAGATAGAAAAGCACTAAACACAACAGTAGGCCAATTAACAGGGAATTCCCATGAAACCACAACCCTAAACCCCCAAACCGAATAACCAAATCCCGTGAGGTGTTTGGTTTGTACATAAGCAACTAAATTATTTTTTAAAAAGAAAGAAACCCCAAAAGACAGTGGCTTATTTATGATAGTAGCTTATTTCTCTTTCAAGTAACGGTGATCCATGGCTGATAGGGTACTCTACCTTATTCAGCAAGGGCTTCCAAGTCTGGGCCAAAGGTCAGTTCTAATCATTGCCAGTAATTGGGAATGAGGAAAAGGACAAATGAAAGCACTCCTAATCCTTTTATGTGTAAGACTGTAAAATGGCACACATCACTTCCATTCACATCCAGTGTTCAGAACTAAGTCACATGGCCACGCAAAGCTACAAGGGAGACTGGGGAATGTAGTTGTTAGCTGGGTAATGTCATGTGTCCAGCTAAAAGATAGAAGGATCTATTACAAAAAGGAAGAAGGGGAAAATGGGTGTTGGGAGACAATAGTCTTTGCCAGAGATAGACCAATGAGAACCCAAAATTTTTGTGAGATTTTAGGGCATAGAAAGAGGATGTCTGTTGTCTGCCAGTTATGCCACAGGGACCATTGGTATGAAAGTAGATATCTTTTTCCACTCTGTTTTTTCCTAGAGAATTCAGGTGTACTGAATTGGATTACTCATAATCCTAGATTATAGAAAACAGTCATCATTAGCATATGTATGACCTACATTTAATCTTTTATTTACTGATTTGTTTTTTGAACACTATAATGAACGCTTGTAATCCCCATTCAACTCAAGAAATAGCATATTAACAATAACTCACATTTTCTCTATGTCCCTTCTCTACCTCTGACCCCTGCACTTCAGAGGTAACTACTATCCCAAATTTTGTGTTTATTATTCCCTTAAATTTTAAATAGAGTTTTATCCTCATATGTATGTATGATCAAATAATATATTATTTAATTTTAGTTGTTTTTGAATTTTATAAAAAGGTTATCATACCGTATATTCTCAATCTTGAAAGATGTTTTAGCTCAGTATAGAGTCCTAGGTCAGCAGTTATTTTCTTTTAGCACATTGAAAATATAACTCCACGGGGCCCATGGTCTCAGGGGACATCTAGCTCAATTGGCATAACATAGTCTATAAACAAAATGTTCTACATCCAACTGTGGTTAGTAGCGTCTGGGGTCCTAAAAGCCTGTGAGCGGCCATCTAAGATACATCCACTGGTTCCATCCTGGCTGGAGCAAGGGAGAATGAAGAAAACCAAATACATATGGGAAACATTAGTTCAAAGGACTAATGGACCACAGCTACCACAACCTGCACCAGACTGAGCCAAGAACAACAAGATGATAACTGGTTACCACCACCATCTGCTGTGGCAGGGAACACAATAGAGGGTCCTGGACAGAGTGGGAGAAAAACAGAACAAAATTCAAATTCACACACACACACACACACACACACACACACACACACACACACAAAAGACCAGGCTTACTGGTCTGACGGAGACAGAGAAACCCTGAGAGTATGGCCCCCAGACCCCCTTTTAACTCAGTACTGAGTTCACTCCTGAGGTTCACCCTTCAGCCAAAGATTAGACAGGTCTATAGGACCAGCAATGACACACGTGAGGAATGTGCTTCATCGTTCAATCATGTATACAAGACTAATGGGCACACCAGCCCAAAAGCAAAGACGGGAGGGGAGGAAGGCACAGGAAAAGTGAACAAATGGAAACAGGGAACCCAGGGTGGAGAAGGGGAGAGGGTTGACACCTTGTGGGGTTGGCAACCAATGTCACAAAACAATTTGTGTATTAACTGTTTAATGACAAACTAATTTGCTCCATAAAGTTTCACCTAAAGCACAATAAAAGATAAAAAGAAAATATGATTCTACTGGATTGTAGTTTCCTTCATAAGTCTAAAATCTATTTTTTCCCTTGGATGCTTTTGAGATTTTCTTTTAGTATTTGGTGTTCAGCAGTTTCACTACCATATGTCCAGGTATAGATTACTTCTCATTTACCCTACTAATGATCAGTTAAATTTCTTGAATCTGTGGATTGGTATCTTTCTTCAGTTGTACAAATCTGCAGCTGTTATCTCTTCAAATATGCTTTCCTATATTGTCTCTCTTTGATTAAATGTATGTCAGATTATGTTATAGCCTTCATATCTCTTAACTTCTTGTCCATACTTTCCATCTTTTTGTCTCTCTGTGCTACATTCTGGATAACTTATCCTGACTTATCTTCTGGTTAACTAATTCTCTCTTCAAACATGTCTGCTATCAAACATGTTCACTGAATTTTTAATTTCAGGTATTGAAATCTTCACCTCTATTAGTTCTCTTTCAAATCTTTTAGGTTATTTTCAGTGGTTTTCTGTTCCTACATATATTTTCAAACTTATCTTTATTTATTTAAATGTCATCATGATTGTTTTATATCTGATGTTTTTGCAATTATGTTTCTGTTATCAGTTGTTTCTACTGGTTCTCACAGTGCCTTTTTCCTTGTGTGCTTAGTTATTTTTTACTGTGTTCTGGCTATTGTCCCTGAAACATTCCTGACGGAGATTCTTTGAGGACCAGCATAAAGGTGCATTTCACCAGAAAGGATTTAAGTTTGCTCCCGCCAGGCACTGAAGGACACTTCCAGTTCATAATTTCTTTAAACTAGGTGTATGACTTAAAAGTTTTTTTAAATACTTCATGTAATTTGAACTACAAATGCACAAAAAGGCCAGCTAATGGTTACAATGCCTCCAGGACAGTTTTCTCCCTATCTGCTCAGCATAGTAACAACTCAACTTCCCTTGGAGTCTCCTGGGAGAAAGAAGAGGACCAGGTTTACTTCTGTTTCACCTTTACCCTAACATCACAGCCCTTGGGGCAGCTATAATTAATATAGGGAAAGCCTCCTAGTAGGCCCACTTTGGTGGGCCCTAAGCTTTGATTTTCATCCTCCTTGCCCTGCAGGGCTGTCACAATGAAATTGAAGGTTGCCCAGATGTACAAATATCTTCAGGGCAAAATTGGCTTCCATGCTTGCTTACCTCTCCCAGTTCCTGTATGCCTATAGATTTTGGCCTCCTTCCTCCCACCTAGTCAGCACTTCTGGACTTTTAAGAAGATTTATAAAAATATTTTATCCAGCATTTTTTTTATTGAATTTAGCAGCAAGTTGGCCCAAATGACCTAACCAATCAGAAACCCCTCTGTCTTTATGTCCTGTTTCATCGATTTCTGCTCTTCTATTTATTGTTTTCAGGTCCTTGGGTGGTGCAAATGGTTTGTGCTCAGCTACTAACCAAAAGGTTGGTGATTCAAATCCACCCAGCAGCACTACAGAAGAAAGCCCTGACGATCTACTTCCATAAGATTACGGTCATCAAAAACCCTATGGAGCACAGTTCTACTCTGAAACACATGAGGTTGTCATGAGTCAGAATCTACTCAACAGCAATGGATTTGGTTATTTTTTCCTTCCTTATATTTTTGTTGTTGTTGTTCATCTTGTTGTTGGTTTGTTTGTTTTTCTTCTCTAACTTCTTAAGTTGTTTTTTTCCAGCTTCTTAAGTTTTCATCAACTCCTCACCCAGCAGAGCTACCGTGCTGCCCTGATTTTCCTCCTGAGACATCTGCATTCAAGGTCTGGGCATTCAATTTCCACCATCAGGCAGCAGCAATGCTTGCCCAAGGCAATGATAGCAAAGGTAAGAGCAGAATGTAGGCACCTTTTTAAACTCAGTGTTTTTCAACATATCTACATATTAAAATCACTAGGAAGTTTTGAGAAGTACTGATGCTTGGGTCCCACCCAGGGAATGTTCTGATTGGCCTGGGATGGCCTGAAGCCAGAGTTGAGAACAACTGCTCTAATTTATCCCCTCACTGCCACCAGCCCCAGACTGCTTTCTCCCTCCTCCCCAATCTCTCCCAATCAATTTTAAACAGAACACGCCCTCATGTTGTCTGTCTTCACAGCAGGCCTCAGCATAAGAGAGCAGCGTTGGTGTGGGATGAGTGCCAAATTAGGCACCGTGTTGTCAGGGGCCTTTACCATCGTTGCCACTAGCATGTACCTCATCTTTGAAGAAAAGCACTTACAGAGTGGCAATTGCACTGAGATCAAACTACAGGACCCGGGTATAAACATTATAAGGCAACTCATCATATGCTGGAGTTTTAAAATTGTCGCCTTCGTTTCTTCCATCACCTTTGTCATCAGCTTCCTCCTTCTGTACTCAGTGTATGCCCAGATGCTCAGGGGAATGGTGATCTACATCATCTGGATCATCTTCTACGAAGCTGTAAACATTATAATACAAGTCCTCACCAACACTTACTCGAGCATTGAGATGGTCAGAATGATGCGCTGGTTTGGCTTGGTGTCCCGTGTAGTCATGCACTGTTACTGGATGTTCTTTGTCATCACCTATACTTACATGATGTACAAAAGTAAAAGTCAGGGCAATATACTTACCTACAACAGACGTACCTCTGCAGGCAGTGGAAAGTTCCTGCGGCGAAAATCAAAGATAATCAACTTTTCCCGCCACTATAATCAATAATGTTAGACCTTTTCTTTCCCCTGAGAGACAGGTCCCCCAGGTTCTCATGGTAATTCTATTTCCATCTCTTTCTTTCATTTTTTTTTTGCGTGTTCCAGCAAATCAAAACCCTGCTGCCACCCTTTCAGAGGAATGTGGAGAGGAAATGTGATTATATTAACAACTGGAACATCCTGCTCATTGTAGCATTTAGTTAAAGGACATTGCCATTTATCAAGCCACACTTGAGTTCCTCTTTCCTTTTCTGATCAATATCACCTTATTTGTCAAAATTAAGAGGACAGAGGACTAAAACGAAGCCAAACTGCAATATGGCAGTCCCTTCATCTTGGAATGTCCTCATAAACCTTCAACCCACAGCTCTCTAATTTAACTCTAGGATAGGCAAATCTGTGTTTACATGTCAGATTTTTGTACTGCAAAGGATAACATTGGTGTCTTGGGGTAGGTTTGTGCTATGCCTCCCTGCCACAATGTACTCTATGCTATATTCCAGAGAAGAAAAGAATAAAAATAGGGAAAAATCATTTTTCAATTTCTGTCTTGAGTCCCTGCCTCCCCACATCTCCAATTTGTCAAAGAGTATGACAGTCACTTGGTTAATCAAAAGGTGTATGTTAAAATTTTTTGTGTTTTTCACTGTGCTGGACACTGCAGAGGGATATAAGAAAAGTATAAGGTATAAGGCCTGACGTTTGGGGATTTTATAAATTAGTGAGAGAAACTCAGCTACTGTCTATGGATCAATTAGCCAACCCCATAAGACAGTTCATGATTACACACTATAAGAGATCAACAAACTTCACTTCATGTTTTGGCTGAGAAACTGTCAGAAGCACTTTAAGCCAGGACAAACGACAAACATTAGACATTATGTTGAGATTTTTTGGTTGAATAGTTTTATTGAGGTATGATTGACTGTCTTAGGCTGGGTTCTCTGGAGAAGCAAAACCAGTAAAGTGTATAAATATGTATATAGAGAGATTTATATCAAGGAAATGGCTCACGTGGTTATAGAGGCTAGAACGTCCAAAGTCAGTGGGTCAGGTTGGAGGCTTCTACTGATTCACGTAGCCGCAGGGGCTGGTGAACCCAAGATCGCCAGGCAGACAGAAGGGCTCTGGCTCACAGGCTGCAAAGACTGACAAATCCCAAGATTGACAGGCAAGATGGAAGGTAAGCTGCTAGCTCAAGTCTCAAGAACAGGAGCCAGCTGCAAGATCCAGAGTAAGCAAAAGCCACGAGCCTTGCCAAAGAGTTCACTTATATTTGATGCAGGCCACACCCCCCAAGGAAACTCCCTTTCAACTCATGGGCTGCTCATCATGGAGGTAATCACATTATATTAAATCTCATCATGGAGGTGATCACATCATTATACCACTTCCAGACTACATATAACTGCCAAACCACTGAGAATCATGGCCCTGCCAAGTTGACACACAACCTCAATGATTACAGTCCACCCCTTGTTAACTTGGCACCTGTATACATCTCCTTAACCATACATCATCTCTGAAAACACACTAGCCCTGTTTACATCTTATATTTTATAAATGAAGAAAACAAAAATATTTGATACACACGTACAAAACAGAAATACTCATAACAATTACGGTCCTTGTTTCTGCAACTTGTCATGTGGTCATAACTGGTATTTAGAACCACCTTCTTCTACCACACATTCCGTGTTCCCTTTTCCCTCAGCAAGCACCTCAACTGGTTGTGGTTCTTTGCCTCGTGGGGTGACCCAAACCTTCATTCCTGATCATGTAGTCATGTCAGAATTGGGTTGCTGTAGTTTTCCATTGACTTTAATCATAGGGCACAGTAGTACTACGAAACGCCCTAAGAGATCTCTTGCATTCCAGACATACTCTTCTTTACTTCCATTATGTAATATCAATAAAATTTCCCCTTGGTAATCAGGATCAATCACACCAGTCAATATGGTAACTCTCTCTTTTCCTGTTGATCCAGAGGTATAAGGAGCCTAAAGTGGCCAGATGGCATTCTTAACTTCCAGTTCAATGGAATCAATGATGTGTCTCCAAGCAGGCGCATTCTTCCCTTTGGAACTAAGACCTCCATATCTGCAGAGCATACGGTTGCAGGGACAGGAAGCAAAAATTTTGTGAGTGGGTCACTAGGGGTAATAGTAAGTGGTGCCATTACCATTTCCACCCCTTGATTTCTGGCTATGGGAGAAACAGCCCCATATATTTGATGCTGGTTTAGAGCCTATACAGCCTCCTGAAGAACATTGCTCCAACCCTGCAAGGTATTGCCACCTAGCTGGTGCCGTAATTGTGTCTTTAGAAGGCCATTCCATTGTTCTGTCAAGCCAGCTGCTTCAGGATGATGGAGAGGAACATGGTAAGACCAGTGAATTCCATGAGCATGGGCCCATTGCCATACTTCATTTGCTGTGAAGTGAGTCTCTTAATCTGAGGCAATGCTGTGTGGGGTACCACGACAGTGGATGTGATCTTAAGGTTGTATGTCAACTTGGCTGGGCCATAATTCTCAGTGGTTTGGCAGTTATGATGTAGTTTGGCTGTCGTATGATGACGTGTTCTCTTCCATGAAGAGATTTAATATAATGTGATTACTTCCATGATGGGATCTGCTATGAGCAGTCAATGAGTTGAAAGGGAGTTTCCTTGGGGGTGTGACCTGCATGGAATATAAGTGGACTCTTTGGCAAGGCTCGTGACTTTTGCTCACTCTGGATCCTGCACCTGGCTCCTGTTTGTCTGACCTTTGGTTCTTGAGACTTGAGCTAGCAGCTTATCTGCCATCTTGCCTGCCAATCTTGGGATTTGTCAGTCTTCACAGCCTGTGAGCAAGAACCCTGCTGTGTGGCTTGCCAATCTTGAGTTCACCAGCCCCTGCAGCTACGTAAATCAGGAGAAACCTCCAGCCTGACTCACGTTCCAGCCTCTACAACCGTGTGAGCCATTTCCTTGATCTAAATCTCTCTCTATATATTCATATGCTTTGCTGGTTTTGCATCTCTAGAGAACTCAGACTAAGTCAGTGGATAAGGCATTCTGTAAATCCACAGATGGTAGTTTTGGCAGAAGCATTACATGCAGAGAAGGCAAATCCATATTCAGAGTGTCTATTCCAGTAAGAACAAAATGCTGCCCTTTCCATGTTGGAAGTGGTCCAGTGTAATCAACCTGCCACCAGGTTGCTGACTAACCACCTCAAGGAACGGTGCCATATTGGGAACTCAGCATTGGTCTCTGCTGCTGGCAGATTGGGCACTCAGCAGTGGCTGTAGCCACATCTGCCTTGGTGAGTGGAAGTCCATGTTGCTGAGCCTGTGCATAACCTCAATCCCTGCCACCATGGCCACTTTGTTCATGAGCCCATTGTATAATGACAAGAGTGACTGGGGAAAGAGGATGACTGGTTTCTGCAGAACGCATCATCCTATCCACTTGATTGATAAAATCCTCATCTGCTGAGGTCACCCTTGGGTGACCATTCACAGGAGGCACAAATATCTTCACTTATTTGGCCCATTCAGAGTGATCTAGCCACATATTTCTTCCCCATACCTCCTTGTCTCCAATTTTCCAATCATGTACCTTCCAAGTCCCTGACCATCCAGCCAAACCATTGGCCACAGCCCATGAATCAGTATACAAACGCACATCTAGCCATTTTTCCTTCCAAGCAGAGTGAATAACCAGGTGCATTGCTCAAAGTTCTGCCCATTGGGAGGATTTCCCTTCACCACTGTCCTTCAGGGTGGTCCCAGAAAGGGGCTGTAGTGCTGCCAGTGTTCACTTTCAAGTGGTGCCTGTATATCGAGCAGAACCATCCGTAAACTAGGCATGAGCTTTCTCTTCCTCAGTAAACTGATCATAAGGACGATGGCCTCCCCATGAAGCCATAGGTGCAGACTGGGAGATGGAAGGTAACGTGACAAGAGTGGACACTCTGGGCGTTTGAGCCACTTCCTCATGTAACTTACTTTTTCCCTCAGGTCCTGCTCAGGCCTGATCTTGTATATACCACTTGTGTTTAATGATGGAGTGCTGCTGTGCACGTCCAACTTTATGAATCTGTGGGTCGAACAACACCCAGTTCATGATGGGCAGCTCAGGCTGCATGGTGACTTGGTGGCCCATGGTTAAGCATCCAGTCTTTGTTACAAGGCCCAGTAATAAGCCAAAAGCTGTTTCTCGAAAGGAGAATAGTTATCTGCAGAGGATGGCAGGGCTTTGCTCCAAAATCCTAAGGGTCTGTGCTGTGATTCACCAACAGGTGCCTGCCAAAGACTCCAAACAGCATCTCTGTCTGCCACTGACACTTCAAGCACCATTGGATCTGCTGGATCGTATGGCCCAAGTAGCAGAGCCACTTACACAGCAGCCTGAAACTGTTGCAGAGCCTTCTCTTGTTCTGGCCGTACTCAAAACTAGCAGCATTTCGAGCCACTTGATAAATAACCCAGAGTAGCACACTCATCCACATCATTAAGGTCAACTCTACTCTGAGTAGGCAGCTCTTCCCTAGTCATCTTTTGAGTGCCTTCCAACCTGAGGGGCTCATCTTCCAGCATTGTATCTGACTATGTTCGGCTGCTATTCATAAAGTTTTCACTGGCTAATTCTTTTCAGAAGTAAACCTCCAGGTCCTTCTTCCTAGTCTGTCTTAGTCTGGAAGCTCAGCTGAAAACTGACCCCATGGGTTACCTTGCTGGTTTTTGAATACCAGTAGCATAGCTTTGAGCATCACAGCAAACACAAGCCCCCACAATATGGCAAACTGACAGACTGGGGAAGAGCTGCCTCCTCAAAGTAGAGTCGCCCTTAGTGATATGGATAGAGTCAAACTTTCAGGAACTTCATTTACTGATGTGGCACAACCCAAAATGAGAAGAAACATCTGAAAACATCCATTAATAATCAGAACATGGAATGTATGAAGTATAAATCTAGGCAAATTGGAAATGGTCAAAATGAAATGGAACACATAAACAT